TATATTTTTGTGAGTAATAACAAAATGATACATTGGTTTTTGTATGATTTTGAGCCTTATCCCTTGTCTTGTTAGAAGAAAACATTTATTTTGCTGTTAAATATTTAAATAATACATTCCCAGATTATACCATCTATTACTATACTACTAGTACATCAGACATAAGGTTCACATTATGGAATAAGAAAAGAATGCTGCAAGTCTAAACAGAACATTTAAGCAGATGAAATAGAGATAATGAAGGAGGGATAACAGTGGGAGAAAATTTCACCAAAGGTCACTGTGTGTCATTAGTACAGAAGAATTGTATCTTTAATTCCAGTGAAATATTCTGTACAGGCTTCAAAGAGTCAATAATTCAGAGACCAGTAGCAATTTAAAAATATGTGTAAATGTTACAATTGTAATTTAAGTGGAGAAAAAAATTGCCATGTTTTTGCTTTGCTGTATGGTAAACATTTTTCTGGAAAGCACTTTGCAGTTCTGCTTTGTTCTGATCACTGTTATTTTACTGTGCCAGGTAGCAGGGACTTTTTAAGAACTCCCGGTAGTACATTGATCAAAGTAGCTAAGTACCTGTGCAGGAGACTCAGTATTGAGTCTTTGTGAATGAGCACTTCATTCTCCAGGTGCTGACATTGAGGATGGCTATATTTCTTTCACCAGAAATAGAGAATATAGAGAAGTTCTGGAGCTTGAGTCTGCTTTGAGGCTGTTTCTTTGTAATTCATTAAAAATTATTTTCAAATATCAAATAAAATATCTTCTTACAGATTTTATCAAATCCTGCATGTAGCCAAAAGTACAGGACAAAAGCATAGGTAGGAAGACCTGTGGCTGGTCATTTATTTTCTTTTGAGATTTGGGAATGGGATCACATTTGTCACCAAGTTTCATATCAATCTTTGTAAGGCTTTCTGACTTCATTATTTTCTAGAGGAAAAGTGATGATGCCATTAACTAATGAAATGCTTTTAATGTGGTATCTCAGACATATACTGGGATAAGGCCTAACACATCTCCCTAACCAGCTGAAAGTAGTGTTACATTTTTACTGTGTCAGCAGTGTTTTCCAATCCATCCATGTAATAGGAAATTCAGTAAGGCAGAAATCAAATTGAAAGTAGTCGGATCTGTGCTTCCTATTTACATTTAATGAAAAAAAAAATAATCTCAGTTTCTCTTCCCCCATACTTCTGCATTTTCTTCTCTTTCTCCGTCTTTTTTCCACTTTATCTTTCTTTAAAATGCTTTCGCCATTGCAGCAGTAGCCTCTGAGAAGAGTCAGGCTTCACTGAACACAGGTGAACATAATTTATGTGATGGTTTAGGTCTCTTTCCTACTAATACTGATAGTTGAGTGGCTAAGGATGAGAAAAAAATATGTATTTACACTGCAATTATATGAATTATGTGGTTTACTGTCTGAGTACCATTCTGCACCATGGTAATTATCATGATATTAAATAGTTGAGTGTCATCATGGAAGGAGCACAAGTCATTACCACAGACTACATATGATAACTCTGAAATATAATTGCTGTGTAATCTTTAGGTGACTGAATTATCATGCAGTTCTGTGTGCGTGTTGCCAGCTATGCATAAACAAAAAGCTGCTTAATCAAAGATTTCTGTCATTTCTTTTTTGAATTGAATGACTTTCAATGCATGGTAATTCAGGGACAGGTTCTGGAAAAATATGCCACCTTTTGCTCAGCTATTTGAAAGTGTGTAATACAAATTTCCTTTGATGAATGATGTGAAGAACACATGCAAATCTGCAACAATGACATAGATAAAGAACTGGTACTTGCCTCTTCATGGGCATTGGGTTGTGAATCCACAAACCTTTGACAGAAGTCAAGTCATTGTCCTGATCAGCTCTGGTTTAGATCCCTGACTGTCATGGTAACTGGCAGATGTTACAAGGGGTACCAGCTGGCCTTAAGGCTGTGCTAGTTACATCCCATATAGGAGTTCCTATAACCATCAGAAAGTAAATTTAACAAATTTTAGACAATCTCTCACAATGTATGTGGAATCATATTTTATATGTATATTTAATAAAAAGGTCACTTAAGCTGTAATGTGCATTGATTTTCTTTCATTTGTAGAATTTTTGCAAGGCAGTTTTATGTAGGTGCAAAAGAGTATGAACTCTATAGGAAATTTGCTTTACATAAAACTATGATATTTCTGATAAAAGAGTGACTTTAATGTCGATTTTTTAAACATAATTCATATTTTTCTGAAAGTTGTTTTCCAAAAACTACATACAAAAATCTCAGGAATTCATTTCTTGGATCTCTTGACAGCTTGTAAAGCAAATAAAATCAACAGGTTGATATAATCTTTGTTACAGTCTTTTTGGAACATTTTTCTTTGTTCAAAAAAGTAATAATTCCAGAAGCAGTGTATATACTTGAGTCATGAGCTTATACAAGATGACCCCTCCTCTGAAATCCCATACTGTTGCTTCCGGATGCATCTGCATCTATGCCCAAGAAAACTTGTCCTACTTCATGCTGATAACTTTTAAATGGATTTATTTCATCACAAATGCAACATGACATTTTGATAATTAATTTTGAGCTGATTCACATTCCTGGAATTTGTCATTAAGAAAAAACAGATCAGGCTGAAAGTTTTAATTGCACTTAGAGCTTAATAAGTATTTATTGTTGGAATGTGTATTGTAAGATGTGCTTTATAAAGAAAGTGATATTTCTAATATATGTGGCTTCATTCGGACAAAAATGAGATATATATATACACTAATAATTATGGGATATTGCAGTCAATTTGTAATGCTCATATTTTATGTAATGAATAAAATTTCTTCACAGCATAGATAGTAAGGGGATCAAAGTTAAACATTTAATCAGAAGTCTTTGCTGGTTCAGAAAGATTTGGCCATATATATTCAAATTGAAATATATGCAGTCATTAGGCATAGTATACATAGTGTTTTAATTCAGTTTTAAATTATTCTGTGTTAATTACACAACAGAAATGTATTTGTGGTTTTGAAAGAGTCTGAAAGTTTTGAATTAATTCCCACCATAATAGCAAAAACAAGTTAGGAATTAAAAATTTGCAAGCAGTCACCAAAGAGTAGCCTATAAAAGCAGGCAAAAATCAGATGTGGTTGAAGAATATAAGATAAAATGCCATCCTTCTTGTCATTCAAAGTGTGAAATGACTGCTATGAATATGGTATGTCAATAAGAAGTGTGAATGCTTTTGAAAAATATGGGTGCAAATTATTTTTTTCTTTAAATAATATTTTATTGATTCCTTTTTCAGGATTTTATTTAGCGACTATTCAAACTGTTAGTTGTGAACAGTAAGGATGTAATGGTCATACAAATAGTAGCTAAGGCACAAGTGATTATTAGTTGGCAGTTTACAAAGGGGATTTCTCAAACATATCTGTACACGTTCTTAAAGACAAATGTCTTTTGGAAATCTTTTTCCAAGGTTAGTCTAAATGACAAGATTCAATACTCAGCAGAAGTACATCTGTTGAATGGAATCTAGTTCTGTGTCTATTTTTACTGTAGATCTAGCATCCTGAAAATTGCAGAAAACTGGTGTTCATTCTTTAGAGTAGAGGTTAAGTCAGGAAAATAAGACATCACAAAATTTTGTAGTGTCAATTATGCGATATTTATAGGAATATTGAATTGATCTTAAGTGATAATGATTGCATCCCTCAATTTTCTTCACATATCTTGAATAAAACCAGTCCTGGAATAAAAATTACCTCTTATGACAGAACATTTTTTTTTTCTTCTCAAAATTAGTGGAGGTCACAGCTTACCAATCATTTCCTGAATTAGACAAGACTTATGTCTATGTATTACATACAGTCTGAACTTTCCAGGCAATTTCTTTGGGCTCATGATTTACTGCTTATAATCCTTACAGATACCTGTACTGGATTTTAAAGGGGCATCAAATGAATTATTAATTGCTACTCAGAAATTTGGCTATAATTAGAGAAATGTGCATGGAAACAACTATATGTGAGAAAAACCAAAAGTTTTTGAGTACAGTTGTATTTGCCCCCCCATCTGCTTTTATTGCATCCTGTGGATTAAATTTATATGCTGCCTAGTTCCTCCTTAATATGGTATTAAATTATGGTCAAGAGAAAATGTATTTACAATGCATGTCACACTTCAACATTTTTTATTCTGTTCAGGTACAATCTGCATATGGTATATCTGCTTTTCCAGTGGCCACAGGAATATGTAATCGCTCATGAACAATGTTATTTGCTTTTTCCTTTAGGGGCTGATGTTATCAATTTCGATGGCCATGTAGTGTTACCATACAGATTCAGGAACAAGAAAATGAAAACACTGAAAGATGTCATCTCTCTGAAATTTAAGACTTCTGAAAGCGAAGGCGTAATCTTCCACGGAGAAGGACAGCAAGGAGACTATATCACCTTGGAACTGAAGAAAGCCAAACTTGTTCTAAATTTAAATTTAGGTATGTTGTGATCATTTTAATTTTGCTGTACTTTTTATCTCTCCCATAAAAATTTTAGGTCATATATTTCATCCTCTTTCCCACAGTAATATGGTAAGCAGATAATTTTGTGAAAATGTTGTAAATTCCCTTTCTATCAGTAGGGTTTTTTGTTCCATTCCTTCTTTTTTACTCTGTGTGAGATGCCGTGAAAATAAGATCATACGAAAAAGCAGGATCAGCAATGTATTGCCATTACCACAAATGAACAAACAAAAAAAGCTTGCTAGAATTATATTTGGCCTTGGCTGTGGCTTTGTGTTAATGAAGGACATTGTCATCACTTCTAGAGGAATAAAGGTCACCTTTAGGAACTTTGCAGAAACAAAAAGTATTAATCTAGGAAGCCACAGGCTATGTGAAGTTCAAGTTCAGCAACCTTCCTAGAGTCTAAGCAGTAGTACTAGGAAAGGAAAGAAGAAAGATTATTTAGTCAGGCAGTTTTAAGACAAAATCCTGTATGTGTTACTCTGGTTCCAACATCCTTTTTCCCTCCCAGTGAAAGAATACAGGCTCATAAGGTACGTTTATTATTAAAAAACCACATTTATCTGGTTTCAGGTATTTCTTTCCCTTCAAACAAAAGAACCTTAGAAAAAAAAAAAAAGTGTGAAACTTTCCTTAGGTCTCTGACAGACATTTGAAATGTAAATTATTTTGTTCATTATTTATATTGAATAGTAATTATTTCCACTAGCATTTTCTCCTGCTCTTTAAAGATAACATGAACAGATGAGGAGCAGGAAAGCACATCTTCCTATAGCAGTTATCTACTTTTAACAATTTTAATTGCAGGAATAACCCATTTATTTTCAGTTTCTCTGTCTCTTCAGTCTCTCTTTATAAGCTACAATAACTGCTTGATGAGGATGTTCTTAAATCACTAGGCTGATAAATGGAACTAGGCCCTGTGACACACACTAATTTATCTTAGCACCTGAGAAGGATGTTCATCTTGCCTGGCAAAATTCAGTGCCTTAGTTTCAAACGTCAGGTGGTGGGAGAAGGATGGTGAGGCAGAGGTGAACTTAGGTTTCACTTCGCATTGAAGAAACTGAGGCTCAAGGACATGCATGCAATTTTATTTTATTTTTTAACCAGCAGGATCAGTGACTTTCAGCATAAAGGTGGTGTGGTCATTTGTGAGGAAGTTATGTCTTAAATTATGGAAGTGTGATTTGCCAGAATGTGTTATCAACATGCACAAACCTTAATGTCTGAGTTGCAGGCGTACTTGGTGGGAAGAAATTCTCAGCCTCAGAAATGCTGTAGGTTCTCATGTATTCAAAACATGGAAGATTGCATTGAGTTATTGGGCAGTGCAGCAATTTTTTACACTTACTGCTGAATTAGTCATTTGCTGCTTCAGTTGAGATCCATGCTATCAACTTTTGCTGGCTTAGTTATATCAGTCAGGTGACAATGAGATGTGATCTCTAGCACAGCTGCACTGGCAAAAACCCCTGGATAACACAGCAGAGAATTGCAAAACTACTCTTGCTAGTAGCTTGACTTCCAGAATACAAAAATTGCTGCTGGAGAGATCAAAATAGGCTGTATTAGTAGAAGATTTTTTTACTGACATTAGCTCAGTCTGCATTAAGTATTTTCCTATGTGCTTGCTGATATAGCTGTACTGGCAGAGGAGACAAAGCATAGAACTCAGGCTGAAAAGGCTTTTTGTTACCGAAGTCTGTTATGAGGATTCATGTCTTCCTCAACAGTCACAGATCAGTACAGTTCCAATGCAGCTCAGGATTTGGCCCAGGGGTGACAGCTTTTCATTTCTGTAGTGTAGGATTGGAAACACAGAAAGCTCCTGGTTGAAAACAACCTTCAACTGGAAGTTTGTGTTGCTTCTCCTGTTTGCCTCCAAAATACTATTATGAATTTATACATGTAATATATTTATACAGTTCTGTGATCAGATACTTGCTGTATTTGGTCTAGCAATTTGTATTTATTGCAGCAACTCTCCCTTGGACAGATCTCAACTTCATAGCAGAGTGACTTCCTCCAGTTTATTGTATGTCTGGTATAACTGAGGAGAAATATTGTCAGAGCAAGGGGAAAATGTTTGTCTGACTCATATGAGGTGAGAACTGCTATTGTTTCTGTTCTCAGGCAGCAACCAGCTTGGTTCTATTTATGGCCACACATCAGTGATGACTGGCAGCCTCTTGGATGATCACCATTGGCACTCCATCATCATAGAGCGCCACGGGAGAAACATCAATCTCACCCTGGACAGACACATGCAGCACTTCAGAACCAATGGGGAATTTGATTACCTGGACCTGGATTATGAGGTAGGCAGTGAAACTTCATTCTTTTTGTTCCAATTGGTTTTATAAAGTTAATTCCAATAAGAAAGTTCGCATAATTAAAGATGTTTTGGTACTTTTTTGTACATTTGTTTTAATTATATTTTCCCTTTAATTTCCTGAAATTTTCTTTCCAACTGTGTTCTATCTTAAGTGCAAATTCTTTTCATAACCTGACCAAATCCCATCTGGTATAGCAGTCATCTCTGCCCATTGTTTTAAAGTAGGAGGTCTGAATTATTCAGAAAGTTAAGCATACAAAACTTTTAAAATCTCTAAAAGCAGCTTCTGTAAGCAGGAAGTAGATTTTTAAAAGTATCATAAAATCTGTTATTCCACTTAGGTGATAATTTTGCACTTGAATCAGAAAGCCTTGTTCTGTGGTGGCAGTATTTATTTTTAGAAAAGCAAGCAGATTAGAACCTTTTTACTAATATGGATCTTGATCTGTCTGGTCCTAAATAGATACTTGTATTTTTACAAATATGGCGTTGGTAAATTCTTTTTATAAAGAAACAATAGAGAGTTAGGAATGTTGTAAGAAAATTTGTTTCATCCATCAGGTTAATGCGTGCAAGTGTTGGTAGCACTTACATTTGTTGTTATATTGCACTGTGGTTTGTGCTACAATGAACTTGTTCTGTTCCTCTAAATTCTTAGGTGAAATTCAACACATTGGTTATTACAAACTTCTTACTCTCTTTACTGTTTCTAATGAGAATTACTGTGGTTGGCTGAGCCAAATATATAATTTCCACCCATACAACTTTCTAAGCAGTGAGAGTGAATCCAAATGATGCAATGCAAAAAGTTTGAATTTACTTGTGTATTGATATTTTTGGAAACAATCTTTGGACCAAGAACATATGAGTGTTTGAAAAAATATTCCACTCCTTCTTAGCTAGTTCGATTGCTGGCATGAAAAAAAGTCTTTGGAAGGGAATACTTCTACAGGCTTTTCTGGTAGGTCTGAAAAGTCTTAAGATGTTAGACTTGAAAATAATTATCTCACTAATTAACATTACAGAGTGTATTAACATTTTATTCTATTTTTGCTCTTGCTGAAGTGTTCATAGTAGATTTCCTATTCAGACTTGTGGCTTTATGGACAGGATAATTAAGAAAGAATGTACTTGAATTGCTGTGTTTTTAAGGTTCTAAGTGTTCCTGAAACAAGTCTTAAGATGTTAGACTTGAAAATAATTATCTCACTAATTAACATTACAGAGTGTATTAACATTTTATTCTATTTTTGCTCTTGCTGAAGTGTTCATAGTAGATTTCCTATTCAGACTTGTGGCTTTATGGACAGGATAATTAAGAAAGAATGTACTTGAATTGCTGTGTTTTTAAGGTTCTAAGTGTTCCTGAAACTACTTGCTGGCATAGAAAGGAAAGGCAGGTAAAAAATAAATGTAGCATTGCCATGAGCTTGAGACAGTTTGAATAACATTTCAAAGCTTTCTCTGTAAAAGCTTACAGGCTTTGCAAAGTCCTGCTAACAATGTGTAAGGTTCTGCTATAGCTTTTCTCTTTATTACATAAGTAGTAAAGCTACATATATGCATTGATGATGTTGTGCAAAGGATTGATTACCATTTGATTATTATTTCTTACTGCATTTTCAATGTAAAAAAATATCCTACCAGTTCCTCTTAGCTCACTGTCATGGTATACGTTTCTTGTTATTTTTCTTGCTTTCTTCAAAATTCTTTCTTTTCCATTTTCTCTCATCCAAGTGCATGACTATAACATGCAGAAAATGCTTGACAACCATTAAATATTAATGTCACATTCTTCAGTTTATGTGAATAGCTGTATTTTCTCTAAAGTAAATTTATAATACCTGAGGATGTGTCCACAAAAGAGTTTTACAAAGCTGGTATGTGGTATTTATAAAGATTTTGATTTTCAGCTGTATAGCTTTAGTTCTTTGCACATGCCAAGTCAAAGCCTCTTCTTTGGGATAGAAAGTAGCATATTACATGCTTTTAAGATGGAAAACATGAATGATTTTCCTGATATCAGTAGTAAAAAAGGGAATTAACAATGAATAATATTTAAAACTTGGTTCTGCAAAATCTCAGCAGCAGACTACAAGCAGACACTTTTGTGAGTTTTCATGGGTCAGGGAAGGTAGGTGTCATTACTATTTATGCCATCATCTAATGGATATAATTACTTAACAGAGATTGCAGGGACTAATCTCCTGAGTCTCGTATTCTTGGCATTTGGGCTGCAAAACATTAATTAAAACATGTAGCATTTATTCACTTCCAAACATTTCATTAAAGACCATGATGTGGGAGAGACCTGTATAATTTTTATGGAATGACAGAGAAGGACTTTGTAACAGATTTGGTTTGTAAATATTTGGTTTTCTTTGGGGTTTTTTTAGCAACAGGCATTCCAGATCACCCTGCGTTTTATTGTAATGAAATTCAGCATTAAGGCTTAAACAATTCCTGTTCGAGGTTGATGACTGAGTCTTTGTAGTGGTTGTCTTCATCTTGTCTAAGGAGCTGATTTGGCCTGCTAAGTCATGTGATAACTCCTCATTAACTATAATTACATGATAAAAGCATGTTCTTGATAATGGAAGGTCCTTCTGTCTAACAGGGGCTAGTGTCTATGTGATTTTGTAAAATTCTTCTGGATAGATATCTAACCATTAAGGGAAAATAATGTACTATTATAGCCTACCACTGCTGTGCTGTTGCCTGAGCTCTAGCACTTGGTTGGAGCAGAGTGAATGATTTGAATCAGATTCATGTCTACTTTTGTTTAGAAAAATACCAGGATGGACATTGATTCCAGTTTCTTTGTTTGAAATGTGTATTGTCTGGTAGCAATCAGAAGAGCAATCCATATATAAACAACTGTGATGTGTGTCTATTCACTATTTTGATAATTATAATAATACTTGGAATTTACTGCCATAAATATTTGCAATCAAAAATTCATTACAGGATTTTGTTCCTGCTTTTACAGTGCTTATTTTGGTCCTTATTCTGTAAACAGGGTTGCCAGCTCTCTCATTTGCCATGTGTGAATATTCTAAGAAAGCAAATACAGATCCAGAAAATTTGTTTAAAAGTCTTTACCTTATAGCAACTGTCTCCCATTTTCTGTTTCATTCAAAGATAACCTTTGGAGGCATGCCTTTTTCTGGGAAGCCAAGTTCTAACAGTAGGAAGAATTTCAAAGGCTGCATGGAGAGCATCAACTACAATGGCAATAATATCACTGACCTCGCCAAGAGGAAGAAATTGGAACCTTCAAACGTGGTAAGAGCATAACTTGATGGTCAACTACACTTCTGCTTTACATTCTAAAGACTAGAAGACTTGTCAATGTGTGTAGCTGATATCCTTGAGATATACTGGAAGAATATAGAACATAAAGCAAATTTTACCACAAACCAAAAGATCTTACTGTATGTATATTTGTGAGGTTTTTATTTTGTATAACACCTGAGCATTTTAATTCTGGGGTCTTGCTTCATCTCTCCAAAATTAACCTTTAGTATCAGAAAACTACTTTCTAAAAGAAAATCAACTGAACCAGTAAGTGTTTCTTTCCTTTCCTCCCAAATTATAGTAGTACAAAACCAGTGCAGACAAGATTTATTGTTAAATGTATTGCAGCTTTCTTGTGGCTTTAAATCCTGATATATTCCACCCCTTCTCAGCTAGTTGGATTGCTGACATGAAAAAAGTCTTTGGAAGGGAGTACTTCTACAGGTTTTTCTGGTAGGTCTGAAAAGTCTCAAGCCGTTAGACTTGAAAATCATTATTTCACTTATTAACATTACAGAGCTTATTAACGTTTTATTCTATTTTTGCTCTTACTGAAGTGTTCATAGTAGATTTCCTGTTCAGACTGTGGCTTTATGGACAGGGTGATTAAGAAAGAATGCCCTTGGGTTACTGTGGTTTTAAGGTTCTAAGTGTTCCTGAAACTACTTGCTGGCATAGAAAGGCAATGTGGGAAAAAAATAAATGTAGCATTGCCATGAGCTTGAGATGGTTTGAATAACATTTCAAAGCTTTCTCTGTAAAAGCTTACAGGCTTTGCAAAGTCCTGCTAACAATGTGTAGGGTTCTACTATAGCTTTTCTCTCTATTACATAAGTAGTAAAGCTACATATATGCATTGATGATGTTGTGCAAAGGATTGATTACCATTTGATTAGTTCTTGGATACTAAAACTGAAGTTCCATCTAATTTTATGAACGTTATGACTAAATGCTCAAGGAAGTACAAAGTATAATGTTGAATATGTGATGTTTGCCCCATACAAATTCAGTAATACAAGCTGGTATCTAGAACTTTTTCTATATGTGAATTTCTTCAGTATTGTCAAGGGGCATGATATTCATGCCATGCAGTATGACTCCACTTTCAGAATTTTTCCAACCCATTCTCATGAACTCCAGAATGTTTGACTTTTTTTTTCAAAACTGCCTGGAGGCAATTTTGAAAAATCACTGTCCTGCAGGACATTTTCAGCTGTAATACAACCATAATTTTCAAAGACTAATGCCTGATTTAGTAAAAGATCTTTGTACAGGAGCAATCTTTCCATTTTGCACAGTCAAGTCCACAGCAAGTTAGAAGGACATATTCTTAAAGCCTCCT